CTATTTCCTGTTATACACCTGATCCCAAATCTGGTGTTTGAAGGGGTATTTTTGTTTTTGCTAGTATCTCAATTTGTATAGTTATTTAGATTATGAAACTGAAAACTTGAACGCCGATTGGAGAATCTGCAAACCGGTTTTGGCTTGTGCGTACTCCAGAGCATTTACCATCCTTCGCCTTGTATTTTGATTGAGTTAGAAATACACTTTCTTCATCTGATGAAGACGTCTGCACTCATGAAACTTTACTTGGAAAGTAGTCAGAAAGTGAACTATGATTTAAATCTAAATTTACCTGGCACTTTCCATTAAGTTCCACAATACACCTTTATTTTCACCCCTTTTGTTGTTGTGTTTTGAAATGTCACTCACTCTCCGGACAATTAAGTGAGTTACTTGATCATAATAAACACATAATCATTATCTGGATCATTTTATTAAGTTAACAATAGAAAAAATGTTTTAAGTAGGATAAAGTCCGAAAGCTGCCCATTCTGTGAGAGAAAAAACATTTTCGGCCCTTCGGACCTCGAACACTTCTTTCTCTCACAGAATAGACAGTTGTCGGACTTTCTGCTTTACTGAGTTGAATTACAAAGTGGGATTTTATGAACACTAACTGTATGTATTTTACGCTGAAAAAAATCCAAGTTTCTACTCGCTCTCGGAAAAACACAATAATTTTTTCATGCATTTTAAAGATGAAAATTAATATGTCGATCATTATTTTCTATTCCAAAGTTTACATTTACAAATAATTCTTTTTCAAATAAGTAGAATTCTAATTTTCTCTTAGTCAATATCTGAGGTGATTTGCGTCCATATTCTTTGGTTTTACCATCGGTAAATACAAATGTCAGATGGATTTTCTGGCCCTTTGAAAACTTTTCACTCATATTGAGACGCCACCACTTGCCGATGGAGGACTGCAAATTTAGTCCTTTACCCAACACTTGCGGATTTTGAGCAGAGAGGGATCTTTTTTGTAACAGTACCCACTGCTACACGGGAACTTGGATTATACGATCTCATCCCAAAGACCGGTCTCCATGTCCCGCTGTGGGATTCAAACCCGCAACGTATGGATCAACCCCTCACTCCGCAATGATAGAGCAGACGCACCAACCACTGCGCCACATAAATTTAAATCTACGAGAGGTTATAAAAAGTTCGTTGATTAGCGCCATAAAATTAAAACCGCTGATTGTACATGAATGAATTCTTAAACAATTGATTAGCATAATCTTTTATATGTATATAATAATCTATACATCATAAGTCTTATTTTTTAATAAATTGTTAATGGTTTTTAAGCAGTGGTATGTCCAGTCGGCGCAACCTCAAAGATGACTTTTTTTTCTACCTGAGTGTTACTAAGAAAAACTCTTTAGATATGAACATTTGTCGTGCAAAAATCCTGTTAATTCACTCATGTAGGACACACTAAAATTTACTATTTTTACCTCATTCTGTAAGTTCGATGAAACTTTATCGTAAAATTTACATGAAATGTTCAAACAATTAAGGGTTGAAAATAAAGTTAAAAAGGAAAAGGGTTTCTTTCTCCAGCACTCTATAAAGTTTCACCCCTGGGAAAAGTAGCATAGGCGTAAGAAATATTTTAACGGGCCACAGAAAAATAAAATGCATCTAGAGTACTTTTTTTAAATGATGAAAAAGACTGAGAGACAGGAGAGATGCACAGTTAAGGCCAATTTGTAGTCAGGGTGTCCAAAGTCAGTCACGTCGAAATGTGACATCGATCATGTGTGTTAGATGTTAAAGTTATGCTGACATAATCAAGCGGAGAGATTTACTTATGTACAAATCCGTTTACTATATTATGTGCATTGAAATCAGCTGTTCGGGAAATTGTAAAATCATATAAACAAGACCAATTCAAATCTTTGTTTAACAACAGGGAATCTCGTTAATTAAAGAGTGTGAAATAGAGGGAGCAGTCATAATGAAAATGACGTTGTTGGACGTCAACAAAAATAAACGGTGACAGCGCCGGGTGATCATATAATGATTTTTTCATTTAATGATAATTAAGCAAATTATCAGCGTATCTAGGTAAAATTTTACAACACATCTTAAACTTTTGTTGGTTAATGTTCTATAAAAAAAATTTTAAGCACATACTACACAGTATTAATTTTATCGCATCAGTCCATGATCTTTTTGATAACCCCTCATACTAACAAGTGTACATGTACATAAAGCATTTCTTCTTAATCTGTGTATTATTTTTTCATTTGATGATAATTTAGAGAAGTAAATACGTAAACAAAAAGGCACAATTATTATATAAGTTGATCTAGGAAGTTTTTGAATCGAATTCTTGAATTTGAATACAATAACATATATCATTATCTGTGATTTCTCAGTCTTCTTCTGTTATGAGAGTTTAAGGAATATTTATGACTGATGTGACTCTATGAATTTTAATTAATATATCAGAAATGTAAGTATTTGCCTTCATCTTACATATCTATTCACTTTTATCTTCTTTGTGTACAGGTGTACTTTTAGTTTTTGGAAAAGTGCAAAAGGTATTTGAATAAATGAATCCTGCAAATATTTTACACTTTCACAAATGTAGGCCTTCTTATTCTCAGAGCCTGATCATTACCTTTATTGATAGAAATCCATCCTTTATATCTAAAGAGACCTGTTTTGTTGTCGTGTATTAGTTAGAGACGTTATTGTTGTCGTGTATCAGTTAGAGACGTTGTTTGTTGTCGTGTATCAGTTAGAGACGTTATTGTTGTCGTGTATTAGTTAGAGACGTTATTGTTGTCGTGTATTAGTTAGAGACGTTGTTTGTTGTCGTGTATCAGTTAGAGACGTTATTGTTGTCGTGTATTAGTTAGAGACGTTATTGTTGTCGTGTATTAGTTAGAGACGTTATTGTTGTCGTGTATTAGTTAGAGACGTTATTGTTGTCGTGTATTAGTTAGAGACGTTATTGTTGTCGTGTATTAGTTAGAGACGTTATTGTTGTCGTGTATTAGTTAGAGACGTTGTTTGTTGTCGTGTATCAGTTAGAGACGTTGTTTGTTGTCGTGTATTAGTTAGAGACGTTATTGTTGTCGTGTATTAGTTAGAGACGTTATTGTTGTCGTGTATTAGTTAGAGACGTTATTGTTGTCGTGTATTAGTTAGAGACGTTGTTTGTTGTCGTGTATCAGTTAGAGACGTTGTTTGTTGTCGTGTATTAGTTAGAGACGTTATTGTTGTCGTGTATTAGTTAGAGACGTTATTGTTGTTGTGTATTAGTTAGAGACGTTATTGTTGTCGTGTATCAGTTAGAGACGTTGTTTGTTGTCGTGTATTAGTTAGAGACGTTATTGTTGTCGTGTATTAGTTAGAGACGTTATTGTTGTCGTGTATCAGTTAGAGACGTTATTGTTGTCGTGTATTAGTTAGAGACGTGCTTTGTTGTTGTGTATTAGTTAGAGACGTTATTGTTGTCGTGTATTAGTTAGAGACGTTATTGTTGTTGTGTATTAGTTAGAGACGTTATTGTTGTCGTGTATTAGTTAGAGACGTTATTGTTGTCGTGTATTAGTTAGAGACGTTATTGTTGTCGTGTATTAGTTAGAGACGTTATTGTTGTCGTGTATTAGTTAGAGACGTTGTTTGTTGTCGTGTATCAGTTAGAGACGTTGTTTGTTGTCGTGTATTAGTTAGAGACGTTATTGTTGTCGTGTATCAGTTAGAGACGTTATTGTTGTCGTGTATTAGTTAGAGACGTTATTGTTGTCGTGTATCAGTTAGAGACGTTGTTTGTTGTCGTGTATTAGTTAGAGACGTTATTGTTGTCGTGTATTAGTTAGAGACGTTATTGTTGTCGTGTATCAGTTAGAGACGTTATTGTTGTCGTGTATTAGTTAGAGACGTGCTTTGTTGTTGTGTATTAGTTAGAGACGTTATTGTTGTCGTGTATTAGTTAGAGACGTTATTGTTGTTGTGTATTAGTTAGAGACGTTATTGTTGTCGTGTATTAGTTAGAGACGTTATTGTTGTCGTGTATCAGTTAGAGACGTTATTGTTGTGTATTAGTTAGAGACGTGCTTTGTTGTTGTGTATTAGTTAGAGACGTTATTGTTGTCGTGTATTAGTGAGAGACGTTATTGTTGTCGTGTATTAGTTAGAGACGTTATTGTTGTCGTGTATCAGTTAGAGACGTTATTGTTGTCGTGTATTAGTTAGAGACGTGCTTTGTTGTTGTGTATTAGTTAGAGACGTTATTGTTGTCGTGTATTAGTTAGAGACGTTATTGTTGTTGTGTATTAGTTAGAGACGTTATTGTTGTCGTGTATTAGTTAGAGACGTTATTGTTGTCGTGTATTAGTTAGAGACGTTATTGTTGTCGTGTATTAGTTAGAGACGTTATTGTTGTTGTGTATTAGTTAGAGACGTTATTGTTGTCGTGTATTAGTTAGAGACGTTATTGTTGTCGTGTATCAGTTAGAGACGTTATTGTTGTGTATTAGTTAGAGACGTGCTTTGTTGTTGTGTATTAGTTAGAGACGTTATTGTTGTCGTGTATTAGTGAGAGACGTTATTGTTGTCGTGTATTAGTTAGAGACGTTATTGTTGTCGTGTATTAGTTAGAGACGTTGTTTGTTGTCGTGTATTAGTTAGAGACGTTATTGTTGTCGTGTACTAGTTAGAGACGTTGTTTGTTGTCGTGTATTACTTAGAGACGTTATTGTTGTCGTGTATCAGTTAGAGACGTTGTTTGTTGTTGTTTATTAGTTAGAGACGTTATTGAACTCTTTCCTAGAGGATCCTTTTTAACTATTCAAGACACATTCTGTATCCTAGAAAAACCTCCTAAAGCATGTGATAAAACAGAGAGAAGTTAACAAAAATACTTTTTAATTTATTGATGCTATATAACATTTGAATGTCTATATAATAACAAAATAAAAAAAAATAAAATTAACGTAATTATACATGTAAACAGCAAACAATAAAAACTAGCTACTATTTAAATAACAATTCATTTTTTCTTTAAAAAAAGTGTAGCATTCGTAAAATAAAAAAGGACAGTCATTAAAAACAAGATAATTAGTTGACTAGAATTTTGTAGATTTTTTCGTAGACACTAAAGAATTTAGATGTGAAGAGGACACCGAACCCAGGGAATTATTATTTCTTTTTTCACAGCACAATCGTAATACTCGTCCATTGCAGACATAGCTTAAAAACAGGAACAATCCTTGAAGCCCATTTAGAATGGCAACTATGTAGGACAGGAAGGAAACCGAGAGGAAAGCGTCTACAATCTGAAAGATCCATGTTAAGCCAGTCAGAGCAAACAACTTGACGTAAACCCACACCTCCACGGACTGCTTCTGATTCTTCTGCGCATGCGGAGTATTTCGGATCCGGTAGACAGTGATGACAAAGAAGAAAAAATTACTTAAGCAAATCAACAACATTGGGGTTATGATTGTGACGATAAAGGCAATTTTGTCGTTTACGAGTCCATTTCTGTTTTCATATCCTGTAAGCGTTCCATCTGAAGCTATAACATTTACAGTCAAGTGAATCACGACAAACAAGCCTGGGATACCAAATGCGTACGCAGCATACTTAATGATAGCATGACAAGTGTCTTTTTCACTTTTTATTTTGTGAGTATTTCTGGTAAATACACGAAACATGTGAAATGAACAGACACTTAACCAGAAAAAGACACACAACCAGAAATAATGCATAGTTATTGAGGACACCACGGCAACAATGTGGAAGTCCAAAATATAGGGTCTAATTATTGTCATTAGTTGAGCAAAGAAAAGAGAAACAATTAAACACATATTGTTCAACCCAGGCAGTGTTCGAAGAGATTGAAAAATACAGTAGACTATAAAGGTTATGACGAGGCACACAAGAGATATTACAATACATACAAACGTCAGCACCGATAAACTGAACGACGAATCCCCGAAAGACTGTTCGAATTCTTGTGTCGAAGGTTTGGTAGAATTAAAAACGCATACTCTTGCAGACATATTTTCAGTTAATAAAAATTGATCGTGTGGTAGAGAAATATTCCATTGCTTAATTTGAAGACTTTGTGTTGAGGCATTATACTTGTATTCCTCTGGAATTAAAAGAATTTGTTGACAAAGAAGTAAGTTGTTCACATAGACCTTTCTGTACTCGGGGTTATTGAGCTTGGATTTGTTTTTCTTATGAATACAATGTCTAGCGAAAAACGGAAACAATTTGGAATGTCCAGACTGACTTAACGAAAAGTTATAAATGGTATTCCTGATCGGTAAATTATGAAGTGAATTAGAGAAGGATACTAGGTTTCTTTCTGTTTCCAAGCGATGTACCATTCCTGATATAAAAACTACTATTTGTATGTAAATCTGCAGTCCAGATAATTCTTTTGTATCACAGTCTTTGTTTGCAAGACACGTATATTCTTCTATCTTGATGAATTGGTCATCTAGGTGTGTAATGTGTTTTAAAAAGTTATAAATAGATTCATGAAAAGCACCGCAGACTGTTTCAATGTTAGGTGTAGCAGATATGTTTTCATTTAGGTCCGCCCGGAAGTACAGAATGTATCTCAGGTTTTTGGTTTGTGGAAGAAGGGATACACAGGAACTGTTGCGCAGTATCTTCCCTGGGAAACAGGTTTTATTTCTGCATATATTCTAAAAAAGAAAACAAATCATTATTATTTGTGTTTGGTTTATTTTCCTTTTCTTTTTCTAAACAATTTATATCAGATTTTATAATCCTGTAATACTGGAAACATTTATAACTATATTGTTATGATGAAACATTGATAGATTAACAAATAAACAAATCATTTTGAAGGAAAAAATTTTTTCATATATTTTCTTGCATATATTTCTTATTTCTATATAGGCCATTAAATCATTTTTAATAATTGATTTGAACATTCTGTACTAGAATAAAATATGAAAATGCAGGTAAAACCAATCCTATGGAAAAGATATCTGACGGAAAAAAATGACAGAGCTACCTTAAACTTTAATAATATACATCCGTGTTTAATAGCAGTTTTCTTTTACCTTAGATTGATCCATATGCTGATCAGAAAAACAAGTCATTTCCTTTCCCTTGTTATCATCATCATCATCATCAAATGAACTGAGGGAAAATATAGTTCTGTAACTGGGCATCTTACCATGTTCCCTGCGAAAATCTCCGTTGAACACTGCTGGAAGGAGACTGTGCATTATATCTAAGTCTGTTGCTTTTATCGCTTCATTTTCAGTTTTGTATCCATTGCATTTCTCACAGAAAATGTTCTTGTAATTAGAGGACATTTGCACATATGGAAGCTTCCCACAGGCTGCTTCCAATGCCTGTGAATTTGCAATCTCGTTGGTACTATTATAACAATGCCCAATTATTTCCGTAGGTGCTTGTTTCACGGGGTTGCACATCTGACAGAATATATTTTTGTAACTTTTTTGGCTATTTTTTGCTGGTCCTATTGAAGGTAGACGGTTCGGTTTTAATTCCTCGCAGGCTTTTCTGACATCAATGTCTTCTGTAGACCACAACCCAGTGATGTTACAAAGATTGACGTCTGCTTTGATTCTATCACAAGGCTTGGCGGATTTGTGTGGCAACAAACGTATATTACAATGTGCCGCCTTCAGAGAATTTATAAAATCTTGAAGTGATGGAAAATAATCAGGATTTATGAATTGATTACAAGAAATATTCAAACCCCAATGTTCAGTCGTTTCTAGGAGACTGTTTGAATTCGAGCTGCAATATTGACAAAATACGTTTTTGTATGTTATACCGCTTTTTACACTAGTCAATGGTACATTTTGAAATAAATCCTTGGAATTAGAATGACATTCATCTGAGGTTGTTCCTAAACATCTATCTACGATTCTATAGCCACCATATTCGCTATATTTTGGCGGAAAGTCGGTAGAAATGCAGGAGGTGATGGGATTTTTTAGCGCCTGGTCAATGCAGCAGTCCTTAAAACAGCTAGCATCACATGAACATTTGCTTCCTATGTTCTTAACATCTTCGTTCAGAATCTCAGATGAGCATAGTCCACCTCCAGAATAAGCAAAATTTTTAATGGCGAGCTTTGTGACATTTAGTTCCACCTCTTCTGGAGTTTTATAATTCTCCCGCGTGTGCAACTGTTCATCAAAAGCAGATGCCAAAAGCATCATTTTAGTAAACGTCTCTGGAAATATTTTGATAGAATACTGTATTTTAACTTCATTGGTTTGATCGATTATTTTTATTTCCGTATCAAACTCTATTTCATTCTCATGGCATAGTAGACAGAAGATATTGCTATAAGGAAATGTAATTGATGTCGATGGAAAACTACTGCACAATTTCCCAAATGGTGACATAGGATCAGGGCAAGTCTTTTGTTTGTATCCAGATATTTGTTTTGATGTTGGAGGGTTGCATAGATAACAAAACACGTTTTTAAACACAAAATTATACGTTGAATTATAACTGCTTCTGCAAGCTTTGTCTATTGTAGAGTCGTATATCTGCCAGGTTCCGGTGACGTTGCAGGAAGAAATCAGGTCCTGTCCATCATAAGGAACACAATGTTGACCATGCCCTTGAAAGGTCACCGAACAATGCGATTTGTTTGCTGTATCAATAATTTTTTCATACGAAGATAAATAGTTGAAATCAACATTCTTTTTACACTGAAAATATAAAGACCAAGGCTGTATATCGGACACATTGTGGCAAGTGGCACAGTATTTATTCCAGAAAATGAAATCATGATCTTTGCTTGACACTGGAGGTAATACAAGAATCTCAGCAGGACTCCGTTCTTTTGTGCATTCTTCATTCAGATTTGTGCTGGTTCCAGGTGGACAGTTTTCTAGCATAGTATAATAATTACTCATATTTCTCTCTGTGTTGTAGACAATTTCTACTGACCGACATTGTGGTACGCCATACCTGAAATATAAATCAGGGCAGCATGGAATAGTGGAATCTTTGAAACAGTTTACGTCACACGAACATTCCGGACAAAGGGGTGTGTGTAAGAATTCATGATCTGTTAAGTTAAAAGACGTAACAAGTGATTCATCACACAAGTTCGTAACTCCACACACAGAAATATATTGCATCATAAGATAGTTATAATCAATTGCATGTAAATCGTCACTGGCAAACGATACATTGGAGTTCCACAAAACACAATTCACCATATTACCGGTCAACAAAATAAGCGGGAAAAATAGTCCATATGTAGCAATCATTTTGTAATGTTTAAGTATCCTCATGACTTTCTGAAACAGAATACACATGTTTGTGTGTAATTAATGCATTTTTAACTGTGGACGAAACATACATTACGAAATGCAAATTAAACAAAACGTTATAAGTGAATCTTCATATTATGCTAATGTTCAAACAAGGAATATATGTAGAAACTCGACTGTATGTATCAATTAATAATTCCTTTAACTTGTTTTGGAAAATGATTTCTCTTTAAATCTGTATCAGAATACTAATGCACCTATTCAATTTGGCATTGCACAGATTTCTCCGGACATTTCTTTTACCTGTGAGGTGTTGTAAACGTGTAATTATAAAATAAACAATCAGCCACATAAACCTTCAAGTTGTACATACCATTGTCCCACTGAACACATGCCTACGAATGGAACTCGTATATCAGAATTGTGAGCTACAATAAAAATAATATCTATTCTTTTAACTCGATTATAAAAGGCGTCCTACCTGAAATCGTTAACGTCCTAATGAACAAAAAAAGATCTTCGTAATTTTTGGACACATTTATCTTGTCTCCTCGCCTCCCCTAGGTTGCCTCCGGGCAAAAAGCTCTGTCATTTGGAGAATGTCAATAAAGTTTTTTACGTGAAAAATAATTAGCCTGCGTAAATGACGAATAACAAATCGACAAATCCCGAAATATTTATCGGACAAATTGCTCTTTTGCATTTAATCTCATTAATCATTCCAAATAAACAAACCAGATTATATCACAATTTTTCTGTTATTCATCTCTCTCTCTCTCTCTCTCTCTCTCTCTCTCTCTCTCTCTCTCTCTCTCTCTTTGTTTTTCTGTCTTTCTCTCTCTGTCTGTATTTTTCTCTCTCTCCCTCTCTTTCTCTGTCTCTCTCTCTCTCTGCCTGTGGTATATTCAGATGGTAAGTGCGCCCTTTTCGTTTACTCTATAAATCACGGTCACTTCCGATTACGCTGACAGCCATTTCCAAACACGTCGTCAACATGTTGCATATTAAATGAATGCAAATAAACATCTGTCAACCCTAATAAAATAAGGGTTTTCCTGATTTCTCTAGAATGAAAGTATTTGTCTTTACTTTAATTATCTCGTTTATATCAATTTTCATTTTGGCTGTTCGACTTTTCATTATCAACAGAAACCGCTATCTAGACATCAGAACGTTTGCATTTTTGCATCAGTAACTTCTATTTCATAAAATTACTCTCACAAAGTAAAAGAGGCTTTTATTTGTTTCGAACACTTTGTAAAATTCAAAAATATTGCTGCAAATCAAACAACACATTTTTTGCTATTCGCAAAATCATGTGTTCCATGCTTCATTTCAATACTGCACATCACTATATTTTCGAGACGCATTATTTTCTCGTGATTGCTATTTGGTATTTATAAGCGAGCTATGGTTTTTGTTGTATATAATCCTTACAAATACGAATATAGGCGAGAATGTAGTTTTCGTGAGCAGATCTAGACAGACTCGAGTGATTACCCGAAAATAAAGTTCTCGCGAATAAAAAGTGATTTATATTAATTCTCAAATGTCCCAAAGTTTGCACCAAACCGCAAAGTCTCTGATTCCATATTAATAAAATGAACAGAAAGGTTTACTTTGACCTGGTCTTTCACGCTGTATAAATATTTAAAAAAAGACAAATGTTTCTTATTTTAAGCAAAAGTAAAAATGATTTTGAAGGTTGCAGATTTCAAAACATATCATTTGAAAAATGAAAATTGAAAAATAATAATTAATTGAAATTTCAAGTTGGAAGGTCTTTTCTTTAAAACCGCAATTAAAATGGATATTTGTATTATGCGGCAAAAAAGAATGATTGAACAAAAAATCTAAATTTTTCGTCGTCAATGGTAAAATTTGATTATCTGGGGTCTATAAAATATTGGTGTGACAAATGCTCGTGTACTAAATAAAGTAATGTTTAACATTAAGTCTACCATATTTTGAACTTCCATAACATCGTCTTAAATATTGAAAATTACAGACTATTCTAAATTAGCAGCAAACCAATACAATTAAATCCTATAAAAGAATTATAGTTCTGTCAGACAACTTCTCCATTAAAAGGTTAAAACGCGTCAAACGGAAGAAATGAGAAAATATTAGGTTAATATTGATGTCCAAAAACTGAGTTTTAAAAAATGGGGGAAATGTATTCACGTGGAAAATCGTAATTGTTTTCCCCTCTTTTATACATAAAGTTATTGAAGTTATTTAACTTAAGGTGAAGAGAAAAACGTCGTGGCATAACAATATGAAAGCTGTTTAAATATGAAATTGTAGTGAGTTATGACACTAAATGCGTTGAAAGCATCAATAAAATGTTTTAATTTAAAAAAAAAAGAAGACATTTATACTGACAAAAATAAAATGTTTCTTTATTTAGCAGGTAGTCTCTAACTCTTTGTTTTAAAAAAGACACTGTTGTCGTTATATTATCGAGAATGTATAAAATAATTTTACAAAAAAATAATGAATTAAAAACTTGAATATCTAGCAAAAGCTTGCATGAAAAGTAAATAATTTGAACACTGATCTCATTCAAAAAGCCAATAAAAAGGTCAAAAATGAGTTAGTATTACATATAATGAAGATACGTAAATATTGTTTACAATCTTTAATATTATTTGTATACTATAATATACAAAAGTTTCAGTCGTATCATACATATTACAAATAATTAAAATCAAATTACTATGTACTTACATTTGATTCTATATCTCCATCAGCAAACTTGTGTTTTTATTTATTAATATCAACACGACCTATGACGCGGATTATTATAAATCATTACACCTAATCACCTTACCTGGTCACTATACCTGGTCACGGATGCAGTTTCACACGGTTCATGTATAAGGTTTGTCCAGATCCTTGCCGCGTATTACAGCAACATTGCTTCCAGCTATAACGCGACATGTTTCCTTTAAAAACTTCCCGTGTGTTAAATACATTTGTCCAATTGATATAGAGTGTAATCGGAAACTAATTCTAATGATTTATAATCAAATTATTCTAACGATGTTTTAATAGTCAAAAGATGCAGGGGGAGAAAAAAGCAGTTGGGTGAATTAAAAAAAAATGACCACCAAACTGAATTTTTTTTGGCAAAATTCAACTACTTATAACATATTTTTCACTTATATCATCATATTGCAAATGCATTCTAGTTTAAAATCCTGAAGTGGCAATAGAAAAGACAATTGGATTAAAAAGTTTCAGAATTTTTATCAGTAAAATTTCTTTTGAAAAAAGAAAATATCATTACACCTCAAAAGACTTTCTAAAATACATAATCACAAGAAATTATAGTTTTTTATGCTTCAAAATGGTAAAAGGGGTATAAATGATTAAATCTAGACCTTGAATGAGTATCTTCTCTTGTACATGTGACAAAAAATTGGCTTTTTGATTGTTATTTTACATTATTTTTTCAATTCTGGTTTGAAAAGTTTTAATATGAAAAAAATATGAAGCAATAAAATTCCCCAAAATTCAATTTTTGGTCCGTTCAAGTCAATTCTTTAAATCTAAGCCAAAAAAGAATTGTGATATACGAGTTCTCCTACAAAAAATACTAGATTTTGAAGTCACCCTATTTTACATTATTGTGTTGCACTCCTGACATCTGATATGTATTTTATTTAACATTGTTTTAAAAATTATAACACACAATAACCCATTCTTACTTTGTAAATCAATTTGTCGTTTTGATATTTGTCATCGTTTACAGCAGGTTTTTCATATTTTGAAACCCTTAAAACATGATTATTTGCAAAGTGTAATATATAAAAATTGTATTTAAAATATATGTGATATGATGAAAACTATTCCCTGAATTGACTGTAGAATTTCTGTAATTTGTTGATAGACATAGTGTTTTGAACATCAAATAGTATCACGCATTTTTTTTCAACTTATTTTTTAGAAGAGATAGTTAAAAAGCATCGGTAATTATGAAGCAGTTTTGTTGCACTCCTGACTGCAGTAAAGTTTAAAATTAAAACCATAGAACACAAAAATTCATAAAGTGTTGGCAACATCAAGTGGTAATGAAATTGTGCAATACTTATAGTCCAATACTTCATAATTAACACAGATGAAAGTATTTAAAATTCGCATTTTATCTGGAATTATACCCTATTTTATGCCAAAAAACTAGCTTAAATGTATATTTAGAAGATAAAATATATTTTAAAGTATATTTTCCTTTAGAAGACAAACACAGTAACCCACCAGAAAAATTCTACTCATCATTTTTTCTTTATTTTTATTTTTATTGGATGATTTATAATTCTAACATATTTGTTGCACTCCTGACCAAAAGCATTGGGGCCTTTAAAGTAGAATTGTGAAGTGAAAATTACATAAGAACTTGTTCTGTTGTTTCAGTGAAGTTGAGGAGGAATTACTTGAATTTTATGACAATGTTTTAGTGTGTTTATTTTTAACGTTCGTTAAAAAATCACAAAAAAGATAAAAACACATCTGAATTGATAAAATTGAAAAAAGGAAGGATTTTGATAATAAAACTGTCAATAATATAGCATTAAATTATACAAAAAGATCATTATTAATTAATGAATACTTCTAAGCATGAATAGAATTCTTTTCGTCACAGAACTTGAATCTTTAAAAAAATGTGTTGCACTCCTGACCATAGAAATATGGATCTAAAGCACAGATAGATCCAGTAATTGATAAATCTATTTAGTAAAAATGTTCTTTGTGTCTTTATTTTCCAAAATAAAAATCAGAAAATCATATAATGATAATACTTTTTTCATACTTGGAAGCAAAACATCAAATGTTGCACTCTTGACATTTTTGGGTATGCACATATACTTGACTCTCATTAATGCTGCTTGTGATTTATATAACATTTTTAAGTTTTAAAATGTATATCAGTTATTATTTTACACTTCCAAAATTCTTTTTTGTCTTAATTTTCTATCAGAATTTTACAATCGATGTTTTTTTGGCAAC